AAACAAGCCTGCAAGTTCTTTTGTTCAACAAATGATTATATAAAGATAAATAATGAGCCTTCACTCCGTCTAAAGACCAACTGATCTGCGCCTGACACACAGTAAGCACTTAATAAATGTTTGGTTGGTTATTGATGATTTTGTTGACACGCTGCAAAGAGGTGCTGAAAAAAAAGGTTTCCACTTTTACTTCTTGTGCTTGAATCAGCTGCCTCCTGCAGTCTAGTGATTAGAGTGCCAAAAGCCTTTGTTATTTAATTAAAATTGCCCCCCTTAAGTCACTTTGAATTTCTAGATTTGTGCTTTGTATAAGAAGCTGCTGGAGTAGACTCCTTGGTGGAGAGACTCTGTGTGTGTGTGTGTGTGTGTGTGTGTGTGTGTGTGTGTGTGTGTGTGTGTGTGTGGTAGAGGAGAGGGAGGAATTGGGATAAACTGGGATAATTTGGGTAGTAAAAAAAAACACCCTTTCTCCCCAAAAAAAAAACCTCCTTTCCCGTCCCCATACATCCACAGTCTTATCCCTTTCCCCCTACTCAGAATTTGCACCTCAGACCACCACTTATTCCTCTCCTTTATCCCTCCCCCTCCACAAACCCTCCTGTACCTAAAAGCATAGACACTAATTAGAAGCTTCAGATACAATTGTGAACCCCAATATTACCCTCTTCAATGCAGCAAATGAATACTCAGAACTCACACTAGCAGTTTAAACCTCTTTGTAAATATAGTTTTTTTTTAAAATTTTAGGAGAGGACATTGAATAACCCCCCTTTTCCATATTAAATAAATTTAAGTGCCCTACTTTGCTGCAGCTTATTTTTTCTGCCCTGGTTTAGGAGTGTGAGAGTAAAGGAACCGGAGATCTGAGGGTAAAGTGGCAGAGATGAAAGTGATTACAGAGCCAGATAGCTGCTGATGTTGGTAAAAATAGCAAATCAGTTCAGGTTGAAAAATGGGGAGAGGAATCCCTAATAAAGGCTCCACTTAAAGATGAAGAATCAGTGCTATACTTCTACTGAACAGAAAGATAGAAGTTGGTATTTTTTAACTTTTCATTCAGATTTCTCTAAATTTCCAAAACTCCTGCAACACTCTAGAGCAGTGTTTCTCAAACTGTGCTGCTTGGAACCCTGAAATACTCTAAAGTTTTGTTAAATTAAGTTTATGTTGTTTGTTAATAGGCTTTAAAATAATACTTTTAGAGAATTTTACTTACAAGAGATGCCTTGTGTTCAGAACCAAGGCTGCAGGGAAGTTGCATGATGCAACACAGGCAAGAGCTGCCAGAAAAACCTAGGATTCATTACGCATTTGATTTGTAATTAATTTTCGGTCTTGCTCCTTCAGAAACCTTTTACTGTTGCCAAATTTTTCAGGACTCCATAGGGTCACAACCTACAGTTTAAGAACGGTTGTCTAGGGAGTGGGTAAAGGAGAGGAAGTTCTAAAACTAAATTTGGAGGGGGTATTGTGGCCTTTGGTACAGAGAAAGAGTTACAAAGTAAAATTCTGTTTACTGTAGTTAAGTGTGGACAGAAACCTTGAAAACATGAGTGACAATAAATGAGATGTAATTCTTTAGGGAGAACTTTGCAGAGTAAGGTGGCACGCACAACAGAAGGAAAAGAAAAAAACTATTGTCTTTCATAGCTCCCAGTTTGAAAGAAAAGAAGAGAAAAACTTGGAGAGCATCCATGATGATGGAAACCAAGAAAGTAGAGGGCTGTGAGACAAATGAGCATGGAGAAGAGAAACCTGAAGAAGAGTATACACTGTTTTCAAACGTGCGAAGGCCTTGCCATGTGAAAGAGGGATTACATACACTTATTTGGCTTGGCTTCAAGCAACTGGTAGAAGGCAAGCAAAATTTAGGCTCAATATGAGGAAAAACTTCTTAATAATTAAAGTTGTCCAAAAGTGGAATGGCATAACTGAGTGACTTAGGACAAGTGAAGACCATATTATTATTTGTTGGGGAGCTTTAGGACAAGGGATCCCAGGTCTTTTCCAGCAGTGAGATTTTAGGACATTCATTCTGTTTTATAAATGCAAATGCGTAGCTTAGAAGTGAAAAGAGGCTAACATGACAAAACGGGAAAACTATAAACACTGGAGAAGATGTGGGAAAATAATGCATTGTTGGTAGAGTTGTAAACTGATCCAACCATTCTGGAGAGGAATTTGGAACTCTGCCCAAAGAGCTACAAAACTGCATACCCTTTGACCCAGCAATACCACTTCCAGGTCTGTATCCCAAAGAGATCATAAAAATGGGGAAAAGACCCATATGTATAAAAACATTTATAGCAGCTCTTTTTGTGGTGGCAAAGAATTGGAAGTTGAGGAGATGCCCATCAACTGGGCAATGGCTGAACAAGTTGTGGTATATGACTGTAATGGAATACCATTGTGCTATAAGAAATGATGAGCAGGCAGACTTCAGAAAAACCTGGAAGGACTTATATGAAGTGATGCTGAGTGACATGAGCAGAACCAGGAGGATATTGTATACAGTAACAGCCACAGTGTGTGATGACTGATTTTGATAGACTTGGCTCTTCTCAGCAACACAAGGATCTAAGACAACTCCAAAAGACTTGTGATGAAAAATGCTATCCACATCCAAAGAAAGAACTATAGAGTCTGAATGCAGATCAAAGCATACTATTTGCTCTCTTTTTTTTTTCTTTTTTTTTATGGTTCCTCCTATTGGTTCTAATTCTTCTTTACAACATGACTAACGTGAAAATATGTTTAATAAGAATATATGTAGAGCCTATATCACATTGCAGGCCATCTTGGAGAGGGGTGGGGAGAGGCTGAGAAAATTTAAAACTCAAAAGCTTATGGAAGTGAATGTTGAAAACTAAAAGTGAATACATTAATTTAAAAATTTTAAAAAAAGTGAAAAGAGTTGAAAAGGAATGAGAGGAAGGAAGGATTAATTTGCAACACAAAGGGTATGAGATTAGATAAGACTTGTAGTCTTTGAAGCCCTTGGTATTTGGCTGTCTGCACACCCACAAAGCTTGGAGGACAGGGTCAGGGTCATTTAATGCATGAAAGACTAACAAACACGTGGCGGATACATCTCTGCAGATTTGGAGACTAGGAGCTGTGAGGCTTGCCGGTTGTCTCTTTTGGAGAATAAGAGAATTAACAGGTAAAGATTAAACAAGGTAGCAAAAAAGCAGACAAATATTCATGACTCAGAAATTAAAAGAAAACAAAACAATAATAACAAAAGCCCAAGAAAACAGTCATTAAGAATTTTCTTTTCAAAACATTAAAACTGGGGCAGCTAGGTGGATAGAGCAACGGCCCTAAAGTCAGGAGGACCTAAGTTCAAATCCTGCCTCAGATCAAACACTTGATATTTACTAGCTGTGTGACCCTGGGCAAGTCACTTGACCCCAATTCCCTACAACAACAACAACAAAAACCCCAATAAAATCATAAGCTGATGTTAAAGATGGATGGCATCTTCAGTAGGACCCTCACTTTTCTTTTGCAAAGCATTTTTTTTCAAGGCTCAAGGTGTAATGAATGTGCTTCTTAAGGTAAGTTTGTTGAAACCTGGGTTTAAAAAAACAAAATGAAACGGGGCAACCACTGGAGAATCTGTAAAATAAGAGTTGGCCTCGAATTCAGGGGTGGGAAGCACAAGTGGCCTTGAGGCCTCAGGTTCCCCACACCCCTGGCCTAAATAACCTCTAAGGCTCCTTCCAGATTTCACTCTTGTGTGTCAAGTAAAGATGGCATTGTGTTTATTGTAAAGACTGATGAAATAGTTAAACGGATTGGAAATTGAATTTGACAATTGTGATGAAAAATAAAAAGAATGTAACTTTGTTACAACATCTAATGTTATAGCCTGATATTGTCTGATGTAGGGGGACAGCTTTATAGGGATAAAATGTCAAAGACTAAATCTGTAGTCAAAGAATCTGAGTTTGAACTCCAGCTCTGCTATTTACAACATATGTAGATGACCTGCTGGGTCCCTTACATATCTCTATGATTCTAGTATTATTTTCCTAGGGGAGACTCAAGATGTCACATGGGGTTAAAGACTACTGAAAATTCTGTGGGAAGCTTGAGTTTCTCTCTCAGACTGGCTTTAGGAAATTTTTATTTTATGCAAAAGGAAAAGGGAGAGTTCTACTGAAATTTTATGCTGGAAAGAAAAGCGGGAGTCTTCCTGAAAGATGCATTTCCATAGGGGATATTCACAGTAGAAATATGACCCAGCATCTCATCCTGCTGTGAAATGAGGCATGAGGGTGGGTGTAAGCATAATAGCTATCTGCAAATAATTGAAGGGTTTCCGGTGGAATTTGATTTACGGGAGGGCACAGTGAAGGGTCACGGGGTCTGAAGGCCGGATGGGTTTTGTATCTTCATGATCTTTATTACAGATCCATCAGAACAATCAAAGTGCAAAAGGGACTGGATTTGCTTTTGTACCCAAGGGGCAGAACTAAGGAAAAGGGCCGGGGAAACTGCAGAGGCAAGATTTATTAACATAGTCATCCCAAAAGGGCATGGCAGTGGAGGCAGGGGCGCGCTGGCGCTGGGGCGATCCCCCACCTTGCCCTCCCCGCTTTGAGGCTGTGAGGACTCCCTTCCTCCTCCCACATTCTCCTGGGTCTGGATCTCCCCCTACAGGATTTGAACTTCTCGATTGAACTTCTCGAGAGCAGGGGCTGTGTCCCTTTCGTCTCTATCCTCAGGGCCTAACGCCGAACCCGGCAGTCAGGAGCAGCTTCTCCAACACTGACGGGACAGGTCAAACGAACTTTTCTCTCCATCCCATCCCTACAACTATCAGCTACGACCACACCGACTGACGCCCTCCCTCCAAAGGCCGTGTTTGGCCTCGCCCCCATGACGCGAGGGAGGAGACTCCGACCCCTCCTCCAGCGTCCGAAGCAGAAGAGCGCACAAGAGGGTCACGTGCTGCTCTGGGGCGGAGCAGGAAGTGACGCATGGCGAGCACCTTCCATTTTGTGGAACGTCGGAGCTGTTAAGTGCGTCAGTTGCAGACAGACATAGCTGGAGGAATTTCGTGCTCTCCGACGGAGCGCTGTTTGTGGACTTTCGACCGCGCCGCTGTTTCTGCCACCAGCGGATTTAACGCTTGAGCTCCTGCCCACTTAGACTGGTAAGCGACCGGCCTTCTAAGGAAAAGAACGCCTTGCGGAATTAGTTGTGCCGCGCCGGCAATTTGTCTTCCCGTAGTCGCGGTTAAGGAAAGACCCTGGGGAATTACCCCCGGATTTCCGGCAAGAAATACTCTTTTCTCGCCCTTTGGGCCTGAAAAGTACCTAAGGATTGCTACCCGGAAGCGTCTATTGAGTGTTTGAGAGGGTTGGTGGTTATTGGGGCGGTGTCCATTATATTTTTCTGGTTTTTCCCCCATTTCATCTTAAGCCGCCTGCGTAGTGTTAGGATCTGGAAGACAAACCTTTATCGTCCATTTCTCCATTGAGCCAGTCGCTTACACGATCGGCCGGTCGGTTGGGAACGTTGGTGGGGGGAGGGGAGGGGAGAGGGTGAGATTTGCGCGCGCAGCTCCAGTCCCTTCCCCGCCCAGACGCCATTTTGTGGTTCTAGGGTTCTGTGTGGTTACTGCGCACGCGCCAGCATCGCGTCGCGTGACTCGAGCTTCCATTCGCCTGTGACGCTCTAGCAGAAGAGGAGCTCACGCGGCTCCCCGAGATTGGCCCCGAGAATGCGGAGGAGGCAGCCTACGCCCCTCCTTCGCTTCTCGGTCTTTCCGACTGCTGCAAAGGGGAGGGAGGTGCGCCTGCGCAGTCGGAGACCTCAGTGGGCGTTGCGGCTGCTGCAGTACGTGGGGTATAGAGGGACCGCGGGTTGGGTTGATTTCCCTGCGGGAGCGTTTCGTTGCCTTTTGTCACCGGGGGCTGCTGTTTCTAGGTATGCAGAATTTCAGAATCATCTTAAAGACGTTTATGCAAGTACTGTGTTTTGGTTAGAACATTTCTTGTAGCTTTATAACTGATGTGTTCGTTTCTTGTTTTTAAAAAGAATTGAAAGTGGGACACCATGAGTGGCTGTAGAGTATTCATTGGAAGGCTAAATCCGGCAGCCCGAGAAAAAGATGTAGAAAGATTCTTTAAAGGATACGGACGAATAAGAGACATTGATTTGAAGAGAGGCTTTGGATTTGTGGTAGGTATTGAGTAAAAACCGTTTCTAGTAAAAATCAAGGCATGGTAAAGATTTTTCAAAGTTCAAATTGTCTTACAGATATAAGGCTCGACAAATTTAATGCCATCAAGGAAAATGCAGTGTTAATACAGCCTAAAAACCACGTCTTAAGAGGAAATTTAAATTTTTAAACCTCTGTTAGTGGGCTGAATTGATGCTATCACTCACGTTGACTTAGTTCACTAAAGTGTAATGCTTTAAGATTGTCTAGTACTTCATGTATATTATTTTATTGGTGTTTAAATAGCTAAAATAATTGATCTCTTAGGAATTTGAGGACCCAAGAGATGCTGATGATGCTGTTTATGAACTTGACGGAAAAGAACTCTGCAGTGAGCGGTAATCATTTTTGTTTAAAAATTAGTGCTGAATTTGGTGCCTGGGATTTGGGCTTAGCTGTTACTATCTGTGAGACATAGGCTCATTCATGGCTGTTGTATCTTTCACGTAAAATGAGGAGGTTGAGCCAGATGACCTAGAAAATTACTTTCAACTTTAAATCTAAGAGCCTGTGAAATCAAGTTTCTTAACACTCCTTTTTGTTTGTTTTTGTTAAAAAACCTAAAGCTGAGTTTAGGTAGTGTTCTTAGAACCTTAGAGCATGACAAAGTATAAATTAGTATGTCATCTCAAAACCAGAGACTGTTTAATGAGTTGTTTAAAGGATGCAGCCTGTTGTAACAGGACAAATGTTTTTAATATTTCACTTTTAAAAAGAAGTCCTGTAAAAGTTTTTTTATTGTAATGTTATTTTACAGTGTATTCATAGGAATATTTATATGCTGTGCATAAATATATGCTGATAGGTGTGTTGCAAAATGGATAGTGTTGAACTCTTAGAAGAAAAAACCTGGGCTTGATTGATTAGACACTTAACTAGCTCTATGGCCATGACTGAGTCAATTTTTAATGGGGACTTAACATCTGTATTACCAACATGTATCGGATTAAAGCTTAATTGAGAATGTATATAAATACTTAGGAAAATGTAAACATTATTAAGACTTCCCCTTTATTTTAGGGTTACTATTGAACACGCCAGGGCTCGTTCTAGAGGTGGACGAGGAAGAGGGCGATATTCTGATCGATTTAGTAGCCGTCGTCCCCGAAATGATAGGAGGTATGGGTTTTTCTGAGTTAAGGTGTTCTAGCTTAAAAGCACAATTGAATGAATAGAATGTCCTGTCTCTTAAAACTCACAGATAGAATTTTTCCGTTGTAATTGTTTCTCTTTTTCAGAAATGCCCCACCTGTACGAACAGAAAATCGTCTTATAGTTGAGAATTTATCTTCACGAGTCAGCTGGCAGGTTTGTTGAAATAAGGTTTAAAACTTTAATATTTTTAAAAGATAATGGGTAGTTAATATTAAACCTTTTAACTAAAGTAGTTTTATCTTTAAATATGAACTTAACTGGACATCTATAATATCTTTTAAAACTATTTAACATAATTGGGGGATATTTCAAGCCTAGAGTAATGATAGTGATCAAATGTAAATGTTTTTGAGGATTTTTCTTGTTTTAAAATCAATTTTAACCAAATATTAAACCCTTTATTTGCCAGCCTATCTGTGTCGTTGGCCTTATGACGAGGAGTGCCTGTGGGTTATCCTAATCGTTCTGTCTTGGTCACTCTTGGTTGGGCCTGGTTGACTTTGCCAGTCAGCTCCTACAGTGATCAGTTGGCCACCTCTAGATCTGTGTTTGCCGGTCTAGACGTAATCGATGCACTTCCTTAAAGTGCCAGGTTGCAGCGATCCCCGAGATAACGAGATCTGATCCCTAAGTTGAGAGCTGTCCTCCTGTAACGCTTCCGAATAAGAGGTCCTGGTCGAAAAGAGTTGAAAGATACGAAATTAGGTGGTCGTTGGAATCCTGATCGCAGTAAAGTGGTCCTTGGTAACTTCACAAGAGTAGAAAATGTCTGCATCCGTCAGTAGTCTGCTAATAGGGAGGGCTGTGCGATTTAAAGGCTTCCATCGATTGGGTAGTGTCCTTCAAGTGGGTGGCGAAGAGCCAGTCGGGCATATGTCATGACGGTATCTCCGAGCGATTAATGCAGTTTGCTGCTTGACTAGCCTAGGGAAATGTTAATAAAGGTAAAGTAAACTACATTTTTAATGACATATGGGGCACAAGATAACTGGTGTCTTGTAAATGTTCTGTTTAAATATAAGACTTACTCTACCTCAGTCTTTACTTTAAAAATATGTACTGTTAACTTTTGTTTTTGTTTTTTTTCTTTTTATTTCTTTGTGCTGAGCTCAGTATAGACTAATACTTAGTAACGTTAAAATCTGAATTTTTCCCTTGCATTTTGCGTAAAGCAATATGCTATTTTTATTTATTTCGTGCCCTGATGTAGATAATTTTGAATTCTGATAGAATACAAGTGTGGTAAATGCCATGTTTGTACTTTATCTAACATCTTCTCTTTCAGTAGTCTTGTTTTATGCCATGTTATCTGTTTATATTCTTTTGTTTTTCTTCGTTTAACATAATTGTCTTGTGTTAGGATCTCAAAGATTTCATGAGGCAAGCTGGGGAAGTAACCTTTGCTGATGCTCATAGACCTAAACTAAATGAAGGGTAAGTAAAGCCTATGAAAATGACTAGAACTTAGAATGTATGCTTATGAATTATGCACATTCAAATTGTGGAACGTCACATCTTGTAACATTTATATGCGGCCCATTGTGGATTGTCCTGATAATTAACAGCATCAAAACTCTTCCCCTAGGGTGGTTGAATTTGCCTCTTACAGTGACTTAAAGAATGCTATTGAAAAACTTTCTGGAAAAGAAATAAATGGAAGGAAAATTAAACTGATTGAAGGCAGCAAAAGGCACAGGTATTTTTTCCATCTATTGAAGTCTAGTTTTCTATTACTTCGAGAAAATGTGTCAGGAATACAGATGAGTGAGTTTTGTTCCTACTGAATAGCTATTTTATTTAATATTAGTAGGTCGAGAAGCCGGTCACGTTCCCGCACTAGGAGTTCTTCTAGATCTCGGAGCCGATCTCGTTCTCGGAGCCGCAAGTCTTACAGCAGGTCTAGAAGCCGGAGCCATAGCAAATCCCGATCTGTTAGTAGGTCACCTATGCCTGAGAAGAGCCAGAAACGAGGCTCTTCAAGTAGATCTAAATCTCCAGCATCTGTGGATCGTCAGAGATCCAGATCTAGGTCTAGATCTGTTGACAGTGGCAATTAAACTGTAATTAATTTGCTCTGGGGACCTTTTTAAATAAAAAAAAAAAAGACAAAAATCAAACCATACTTGCTAAAAATCCTGGTAAGTATGTGCTTTTCGGGGGGGGGGGGGTTTGGGGGATGGGCTGGAAATCTTTGTAAATGTGGACCACCAAGGGTTGTTGAAAACTAATTGTATTAAATGTCTTTTGATAAGCCTTCTGCTCACATTTTTGTGAATGTCTGAAGTGTATAGTTAATGTATATTGACTGCTCTTTTATAACTAGAGCAACTTTAATTTTTTTGTACTAAAGAAATAATTTGAACGTTTTAGTTCCTAGTTTATTGGACTGTGTGAGTGGCTATTCAGGAATTAGTTTAATGCCTTGTAATTAAACTAATGGCTTTGGACACTTAAAAAGAGCTCTACATCTGCTGTATATAAAGCTTAGAATGGGGTGTTTTGGTTTTTATTTCTGGGGAGCAAGGATATGTTCCCACCCACCCTTTCACAAACTACAAAAAAAACAGCACATTAAGGTTGCTGTTCCATTGGTAATAAAATTTGTTTTAAAAAAACTGGTTCATTTGACTGAAAGAATCGCCTGTTAACTACTCAATTTTCACCTTTTCACCTTTTCTGGGCCCAAGTTTGACGTTAAATACTGATTTGGGGAGAGCTGTTGAATCTGGGGATTTTGGGTAGGGTGATAAATACAACCTTTTTATACTGAAGTTTTCAAAAAGCTTTCTTATGTCTCACCCTTTAACCGATATATACCAGTAAAAGAGCCAGACCCAACTCTTGAATCTAGTATGTAGCTGTACTGCCCATTAGATGATCTTCACCGTGTAAAAAAGTGTTCATTGCTTCCTAATGCATTCAGTTTTTTTTGTTTGGTGTACACTTTTAAAATTTAGAGGTGAATGGTTCTAAGACTAGTGGTTTAGTAATGGAGGGGGAAGGAAAGTAAGGAGTAAGAACCTTGTGTGTGACAATAGAATGTACTGATAAGGGTATGTAACCAGAAACTAAACTTTTTTGTCAAGGTGTTCCTTCATCAAGCCTGTGGAAAAGCCACTTCAAAGAACTTAAATGGAGGAAGTGAAATGAGATGTGGAGAAGGATACAGTGAATAGGCGTAGTACTTTCTATAGGAGACACTTAAAAGAAGCTGGGTGATCTTAAGAGGTCGACAGGACTGTACATTTCACATATGTGCAACAGTTTGCTAGATGCAAATATGATGGGAGGTATGTAAGTGGTGTGTTCCTAAGCTGCGTATTAAAAGAAGGCAAGTGCTTCCGATAAACAGCTCGAGTGGTGACTGAAGCCTTCCCTGATAGTGTTGACTTCCCCAGTTAATGTGGCTGTGAGGCTGTTTGTTTTTGCCTTGGAATGTAAACTCCTTTGGGGAAAACGGGATGTTATCTTCAGTATCAGCATATGTAGTAGGCCTAAAATGAGCCTAACACACAGATTGAGCCATGTTTGTCACCCCATTTAGCACTCCAAGCCAGGATTAAGTTTTCCAAATACCTGGATCAAATTATTTTTAAATCATAGAACTTGTGTGAACATGATTTCTTAAGCTTGTGTAATTCCACATGTTCAAGTGATAGTAATTTGAGGTCCTTTGAAGTCCCTTTTTATTTTTGAAGGAATAACTTAGCAATAAACTACTTTTTGCATTTTACTTGTTTTGACATCTCTGGGACACCGTTTTTATGTGTTTCCATAAATTTGGTAGGCAAGTATTTTCTTAAGTAAAAGTTCTTAAGATACAGATCTTGATCCTGCTTATTTCATGGTAAACTGATAAGGTTATCCAGCAGACTTGGTATTTGCTGTTAGGGTCACTTCAGTTAATCCCAAGTGGCCGATCAGTTCATCCTGTTGGCAGTTATGCTTTTAACAAGTATCTTCCCTGCCAATTCCTTGGAATTGACAAAATTGATATTAAAAAAAAATGTGTAGGGGCAGCTAGGTGGTGCAGTTCTTAGAGCACTGGATCTAGAGTCAGGAGGACCTGAATTCAAATGTGACTTCAGGCTTAACACTGATCCTGGGTAAGTCATTTAACCCAACTACCTAGCCCCTGCCCCCCCCCCAAAAAACCCAGGTGTATTGACAAAATATACCTGTGTTCACTAATAACTTTGTCCTCTAATCTCAGTGGAATCAAAAGATGAAACTTGTGATTTAAACTATTCCAAACAATACTCCATGAAAAAGTCACTTTTCATGAGCTCTTATTTCCACATTCCATACCTCAATTCTATTTCCCAGTCTTTGACTAAGTGAGCCTTACTGAGCCCTTCTGGTTTTGATCCCGTCTCTTAACTGTTTACTTTGGGAGTTTACAGTCTTAATCATAGTTTGTCTTGCTCTCAGGTTTTATCTGTTGGCTCTTTACTCACCTGCTTTAACAAATATCCACACTCATCCTTAAATATTCATTTACATCCTCAAGCTATCCTGAATTCACTTTGTCAGCCAGAGTTCCCATGCCTCAGTTCTCTTGTCACATCCCCCAGTTCCTTTCACTGGCTGTGTAAAATGTTCAGACTTAACAGATAACAACTGCTTAGTCCAGTGGACTCATGCATTTTTTTTGACCGTTCTGTAGTTTTGACACAACCAGTCACTGGCAAATATTCTCCATTTCTCATTCTGCTGATTAACAGCTACTTATAAATGCTTAATTAGTAGTTATGATGTATTCTTGAGTTTGTTGACGTCTCCAATCTCTGAATCCATACAAATGAATTGGTTTTTCAAAAAACACTTCTCAAGAACCTTCACTGTCTCCCTGTTGCTCTTAGGATAAAATGAAAAACTCATGAAATTTAGAACCTGTCATGATAGGGTTTTTCAAGCATATTTCATATTTCACTTTAATGAGTTGACATTAACTTTTCCCTCATATTTCTTTCTTACCCCTACCGTGGTGTATAAGTGGGCCCTTTCCCTGCAAATACGTTTTCACCTTGACTTCCTAAGAGTTGCTTTTAAAATCCAGTTCAGGTACTGGAGTCCTCCACTGACTAGCTTTCTTTGATCAGCAATCTCCTGAAGTTACTTTGTATGTACATTGTATTTCTCCGTCCCCCACTACCTTGTATTTACTTGCTTACATGTTTCATCAGCAGCACAGCAAGGTATGTTGCACTGAGTACTGCCTGTAACCATTTAATAAATGCTAGGTGAATTTCTTGAATTTGTTAACATTTTGTAAGAAGATCACTATAAAATGTGTGAGAGAGGTGGGATGTTTTCAGCTTATAAGGATGGCTGGCGCTTTAATCACTTCCATCATCGTTGAGGACACAGCCCTGTGAGCGCCTGGCTCGCTGCACAAAAGTGGCCAAGTTTTATCGTTTCTACCTCTCCACATCTCTTAAGCGTTTCCTCTGACTCGCACAAGCACCACCCTGAACTATTGAAATGGTCTCTGATTGGTATCCCCACCTCATCTGCCCTTTCCAAAATCTATCCACCAAATGGTTTCCAATGGCTTCAAAAGGAAGGTGATTTTCCTAAAGCGCAGATCTAACTATATCACCTCCCCTACTCAGTGAACTCCAGTGGCTCCCTAGTACATGCTCCAGTGTCAGATATAAGATGCTTTGTCATTTAAAGCCCTTCACAGTCCTGGAGAAGAAAAATCCATTTATATCTCTTGGCCCTTCAACTAGTGTTTCATTTATTTGCTTTCTCATAGATCAAAAGTAAGGTCTCCAATTAGTTAAGCATTATTTCCCAACTGACATGGCCATGGAGATTAGAAAGTTTTGTTGACACGGTGTGACCTAGAGTTAGGAAGACCTGAGTTCAAATCCAGTTTCAGACACTAGCTCTCTTGACCTGGCGAAAGAGAGAGCAGGGAGAGGACACTCACTGTCTACTTCAATTTCCTCAACTGAGGAAAATGAGGATAATGGGACCTACGCCTACCAGAGTAGTTGTAAGAATAAAATGAGATAATATTTATAAAGCACTTAATACAATGCCTGGCACATAGTAGATGAAATGTAAATACTAGCTCTTTTTGTGTTAAATTTGATCAGATAAGCATTCTTCCCATGTTGTCTAGACCTTGGGCAAATCACTTGACCTCTAGGAGGTAAAATGAAAGAATTAGGCTAGATGGCTCCTTAGGTCTTATCTAGCACTATGATTCTATGATAACATTTTAAGACAATAAAAAATTTCTCTTATGAGAAAGTGGTACTTGTTTATATGTCTGGAATTCCAGTGACAATTTTATAAACTTTTCATTGGGGGTTAATACAAAAAAAGCTTGTCATCTAATAATAATAGCTTCATTTTTAAAATGAAAGGGAATGGTCACTAGCCATAGTTTGGAAGGTGCACTTGTGAATTTTCTTAGTTTGCAGGGGTGGAGGGAGGCAAGATGGGAATAATTCCCTAAAATATTTTTAAAATCAATTCATTTTGAATCATCAACAATCACTTCCATAAGCTTTGGAGTTTTAAATTTTTCTCCCACTCCATCCCCACCTCCCTCCCCAAGATGGTGTGCAATGGACTATATATGTACATTCCTATTAAACATATTTTCATGTTAGTGGTGTTGTAAGTAAGAATTAGAATCCATAGGAGGAACTACCAGAAAGAGGAAACAAGACACAACAGAAGAAAAAAACAGCAAATAGTATGCTTCGATCTGCATCCAAACTCCGTAGTTCTTTCTTTGGATGTGGATAACATTTTCCATTAAAATATTTTTTCAAGTAGGAAAGTGGAACCAAAGCTACCATAAGAAAATTATTTTCTCACTCCTACCCTCTATTAATTATAAAGTTTTCATCCCTCCTGTTTAGTATTTGGTTTCCCCAAGGTCCCAGAAGCTGGCATTCCTTAGTTGTGTAGAGGACTAAGTGTTACATTTGTGCATGTAATTTTGTTTTAATTTCCATTATCGTAATGTTATTGCTGTGACAAGTAAGGACAAGGTATCAGGCTGCTTATCCATCTCAAGTTTCATATGCAAAGGCCACCTAGGAGAAAATGGTGTTTTAGCTTGCTTGCATATCTCTGCTTCCCATTCTCACATAAACCTTTAGTTTAGTTGGTTTTGTTATTTTTTGTTACCACAATTTTTTCTTTCACACAAAGCTCTGCATTTCTCTGAGAAAAGCAAATGGACAAATGTCTATATCTGGTCTCGGGATTAATCTCCTATAATTCCTCAGGATGATGGGGTACAATGTGTGGAAGAGGAAAACTGATCCCTGCTTTTAACACAAAAACAGTTAAACGGTATTTTAGATTCAAAAGGCTCAGGTAATGCCGCCAAAAAATTTGTAATAACAATATAGACGCAAAGTTTAAGTTGCATCTGCACCATTCACATTCCTCTTTATTATGAATATCCAGACGCTGCTGTTAAAAATCAACAACTTAAGAGGCAGCTAAGTGGCTGCAGTGGATAGAGCACCGGCCTTGAATTCAGGAGGACCTGAGTTCAAATGTGGCCTCAGACACACATCACTTACTAGCTGTGTGACCCTGAGCAAGTTACTTAACCCCATTGCCTAACCAAAAAAAAAAAAAACCAGTTAAAAATGAACAGCTTAGGAAGGTATCTGCAATCTCCCTGGGCCCCTATGACTTTTTCTCACTTGTCCTAAGAATATTCAAATGTGCCTTAGAGTTGATTTTTAGAGTTGGTTATGAAAATGAATCTAAATGTTTAACAGGGGCTACAATAATGTAGATGAAGACAAAAACGAAAGGCAACAAAACTCATGTCAAATATAAACCAATTTAGTGGTAAGCTGCTAAAATGGAAAGAGACTTTACTGTCAGAATCTGCTTTGGGGTGTTGCTTTGGGAGGGGTCTTTGGAATGCGTCTATTGTGTTAAAACAAAGTATATCCAATTTTTTTTCCATTGAAGTGTTTAAAAGGAACTGGTAACTCATCAAAATTATGTCTATTTAGAAATTTTGAGGCAAAGGAAGGGAAGACAACAGAAACTATACTGAAATGAGAGTCGAGGTACAATTTTTCCTAATAAACACTTTAAGACTGAGCCCTTCATATCTTACTGCACATAAATTCACCAAATTCCATTAGTCTCATTTTATTTTTTGCATGTGGCCAGAAAAAAAGTTCCAGGTTGGTATTGGCTATAATACGTTGCTCAGATGGACATCCATAACACCTAGAGGAGTACCACGATCATTTGGGTGGTTAATGCTGGAATGGCTTACAGAGGGCACAGGAGAGTTTGCCCTGGTAATTCAGATAATGCTGTTCTTTCTGTTGTGTATTTCAAGCCTTGCTGCTGGCACTGGGAATGGCCCTTTATAGATAAGATCCAGTTGCTAGTGAGGTAGACTGAGTCTAGGCCACACTCGTACCGTTGTCTTGAGTTCTTGTGTCTGCTTCTTTGGCAGTGTCACTCACAGCTGTGTAGATCATTTTTGTTTTATCTATAGGGAGGATAAAAGGAAGAACAAAGACAGCAAATGAGACAAGTCTATCCAAAAGTAGTAGAGCTAGCAGACGTCAGCAGCGAGAAATCATACCCCAGGATGTACCAGTCCACTTTAGAATCTATTCTGTACCACCTCCTCTTCTCTCTCTTTAATTGATTTTTAGAAACTCAAGATGGTTTGTGACAGCCTTACTAGATAAAAGACACCTTTCCAAGCCTGACAACAGATGAGTTCTCGTTCATCAATATCCTTTCAAGGTCTTTCAAGAAGGGAAGGAAGGATGGAGGTCAATTCCAACTACATCCTTAGGATCCTTTTGTGTGTGTGTGTGTGTGTGTGTGTGTGTGTGTAGATTGTTCCAGAAAAGTATGAATCTGCATCTCATTACTCCAATGAATCTGCTCTTTCTAAGGTTATGAGTGATCTTTTTAAATTTTGAAATCTGTTGTCTTTTCTCAGTTCACATCCTTTTGTACTTCTCTACAACATAAGACATGGAAAACAATATCCTGTATAATCTCTCCTTCCTGGGTTTTTGTGACACTACTCTCTCTTTGTTTCCCTTTTGCCTCCATGGCATCTCCTTCTCAGTCTTCTTTCCTATATTATCATCCATGTCCCACCACCACCCCCATGCATGGGTCTCTCCTTAGGCTCTGTCTCAGGTTTTCTTTTCTCTCTCTTCTCTTGGTGAACTCACTTTCTATGGGTTTAGCAATGCAGATAACTCTGAGAGCTATATCCTAGTCTCAAACTCTAGGTGAACTTCACCTACCGGAAATTTTTCAAATAGATGTCCAGTAGGGATCTGCAATTTAACATGTCCAAAACAGAACGTATATTTGCCCTCAAACCTTGCCCTCTTTCTAACTATTCTGTTTCTGTTAAGGGCTACACCTATCCTGTCGCACTCCTCAGGTTTGCCGTCTTGGAGTCATTTTTAGTTCTCCCTCTCCTTCATAGCACTCCCTCCACTTCTGTTTACTTGGCAATTAATTGTGAAATCTTGTCAGTTTAGTGTTGTGAGATCAGTTTTTATGTGTCCCCTTTTCCCTGTTTACATGACCATTACTCTAGCTCAGTTTCTCATTTCCTTTCACCTGGACTATTGCAATACCCTCCTAATTTGTTTAGCCACATCCAGACTTTCTTCATTCCAATCCATCCCCTATACAATTTCAAAATTGATATTCCTAAAACACAGCCTACATAGATACCTCTGTCCTATCCCCTGCTCAGGAAGCTCCAGTGACTCTCTTCTGTATCAGGATAAAATATAAATTCCTCTATAAGGCCTTAATATCATGACTCTAGCTTATCTTCCCAAGTTTTGATTGCACATTACTCTTCTTCATGCACTAAGTGATCTAAACAGACTAATTTACCTGCTGTTTCCTATCCAGGACATTCCATCCTTTGTCTCCATGCTGTCTCTTATGCCTAGAATATACTCTTTCCTCACCTTGGAATTTCTCTTAGAATATTTAGCTTCCTTCAAGCCTCAACTCAAGTGACTAAAGGCATCCTATTCTGATTTTTGCAGTCCTTAGTCCACCACCTCCCCCATGAAGTTATTTTGTAATTATTTTGTTATGGTATACATGTCGTTTCCTGAATCTAAAATCCTTGAAAAGCAGGGATTATTTCTTTTTTTAAAAAATTATTTATTTTAAGTTTTCAACATTTACTTCCACAAGATTTTGAGCTCCAAATTTTCTCCCCATCTCGTCCCTCCCTGCTACCACACTCCACCCCAAGGTGGCATGCATTCTGAATACCCCTTCTCCTAATTTGCACTCCCTTCTATCTCTCTCCCCCTTCTCTTATCCCCTTTCCCTTCAATTTTCCTGTAGGGCGTGATTAGATTTCTATACCCCATTTCCTGTATATCTTATTTCCCAGCTGCATGTGAAAACAATTTTTTTTAAACTTTTTTTTTAAGACTTTGGGTTCTAAATTTTCTCCCTTCCTCCCTCCCTACCCACCCTCATTGAGAAGGCAAGCAACTCGATACAGGTTATACATGTATAGTCATGCAAAACACTTTCATAGTAGTCATGTTGTGAAAAACAAAGTATATTTCACTTCATCCTATCCTGCCCCCGATTTATTCTATTCTCTCTTTTGACCCTGTCTCTCCTTAGAAGTGTTTGCTTCTGATTACCCCCTCTCTCAATCTGCCCTCCCCTCTATCATCCTCCTGCTCTCTTGTCCCCTTCCCCACCTATTTTCCTGTAGGGTAAGACAGATTTCCATACCCAGTTGAGTGCATATGTTATTCTCTCTTTAAGCCAAATCCTATGAGAATAAGATTCAGTCATTCCCTCTCACCTTTCTTCATTTCCCCTCCATTGTAAAAGCCTTTTCTTGTCTGTTTTATGTGAGATAAATTACCACATTCTACCTCTCCCTTTCTCCTCCCAACATAATCCTCTCACTCCTTAATTTTATTCTCCAGATATCACCCCTTCATCTCAAACTCACTCTGTGCCCTCTATTTATCTATCTCTCTATCTCTCTATCTCTCTATCTATACATACATACATACATATAATTTTTTTCCATCCAAGTACTCTAATACTGACAAAGGACTCATGAGTTACAAATATCATCTTTCCATGTAGGAATGTAAACAGTTCAACCTTAATAAATCTCTCATGATTTCTCTTTCCTGTTTACCTCTTCATGCTCCACTTGTCTTGTATTTGAAAGTCAAATTTTCTATTCAGCTCTGGTCTTTTCATCAAGAATGCTTGAAAGTCCTCTATTTCACTGAATGTCCATTTTTTTTCCCCTGAAGGATTATACTCAGTTTTGCTGGATTCTTGGTTGTATACTCAGTTTTCTTATGATTCTTGTGATTCTTGGTTGTAATCCTATCTGCTTTGCCTTCTGGAACATTATATTCCAAGCCCTGCAGTCCCCTAATGTAGAAGCTGCTAAATCTTGTGTTATCCTGATTGTGTTTCCACAATACTTGAATCGTTTCTTTCTGGCTGCTTGCAATATTTTCTCCTTGACCTGGGAACTCTGGAATTTGGCTACAATATTCCTAGGAGTTTTCCTTTGGGGATCTCTTTCAGGACGTGATCAGTGGATTTTTTCAATTTCTATTTTGCCCCCTAGTTCTAGAATATCTGGGCAGTTTTCCTTGATAATTTCTTGAAAGATGATGTCTAGGCTCTTGTTTTGATCATGGCTTTCAGATAGTCTAAACATTTTTTTTTTGGCTAGGCAATGGGGTTAAGTGACTTGCCCAGGGTCACACAGCTAGTAAGTGTCAAGTGTTTGCTCTGAGACCGGATTTGAACTCAGGTCCTTCTGAATTCAGGGCCGGTGCTCTATCCACTGTGCCACCTAGCTGCCCCTAGTCTAAACATTTTTAAATTCTCTCCCCTGGATCTATTTTCCAGGTCAGTTGTTTTTCCAATGAGATATTTCTCATTGTTTTGTATTTTTTCATTCTTTCAAATTCATTTTTAGTGTCTTGATTTCTCATAAAGTCACTAGCTTCCAATTGCTCATTCTAATTTTTAAGGAAGTATTTTCTTCAGTAAGCTTTTGGACTTCCTTTTCCATTTGGCCAATTTTGCTTTAAGGCATTCTTCTCCTCATTGACTTTTTGGACTTCTTTTGCCATTTGGGTTAGGCTATTTTTTTAAGGTGTTATTTTCTTCAGTATTTTTTTGGGTCTCCTTTAGCAAGCCATTGACTTGTTTTTCATGATTTTCTTGCATCAGTCTCAGTTTTTCCTCTACTTCTCTTACTTGCTTTTCAAATCCTTTTTGAGCTCTTCCATGGCCTGGGACCAATTCATGTTTTTCTTGGAGGCTTTGGATGTAGGAGCTTTGACTTTGTTGTCTTCTTCTGGTTGTATGTTTTGATCTTCTTTGTCACCAAAGTAAGATTCTATGGTGTAACTCTTTTTGCAGCTTGCTCACGACCCCAGCCAATTACTTGAATTACAAACACTTTGTTGAGGTATGGGTCTGCTTCCAGTGTGGAAAATGTACTATCCCAAGCTTTGGAGGTTTTGTGCAGCTGTTTCCAGAGATACTTCCAGGGACCTGTAAATTTTCAGTTCTTCCAAGGTGCTATGATCAAGGGCGAGGTGTTTACTCCTTTCCTGGCCTGTGCTCTGGTCTAGGAGTGACCACAAGCACTCTTTTTTGTCTTGGAACCGTGAGGAGGATTCTCTCTTCACAGCCACTATGAGCTCCACCATGCCAGCGCTCCTCCTCACCCCAGAACCACTACTCACAACTGTGACCCAGATCCAAGCACAGGCAAAGCAAGAGAATCCTGCCCCTGCAAAGAGACCCCTGCAATCCCCCTCTGATTAGCCACTCAATTCCCCTTCAGTCTGTGAGCCAGAAGCTACAGTGGTAGCCACCGCCCTAGGATTGAGCTCAGGGACTAGGGCTGGGTCACGCTTCTCTCTCACCACAGACACAGACCTTTCCCACTGACATTCTAGGTTATCTTTGGCATTCATGGGTTGAGAAGCCTGAAAACCGCCACAGCTGCTCATGGTTCAGTCCTTAGAGGCTTGCTCCAGGTTCACTGAGGCCTACTTGCCCACGCTGAACTGAGAGCTCTTCTCCCAGCCTGATGTGATATACATTTCTGATCAACCATCCAGGTTGTCTTAGGCTGGAGATTTGTTTCACTCTGTCTTTTTGCAGTTCTGCTGCTCTAGAATTTGTTTAGAGCCATTTTTTTACAGGTATTTGGAGGGGTTTGGGGGAGAGCTCCAGCAAGTCACTGCTTTTACTCCACCATCTTGGCTCTGCCCCCTGGGATTATTTCATTTTCCTCTTTAGTATCTCTAGTACTAACCATAGTGTTGAATGAATGATTTATGAAACAAAGACATCCCTAGGGAATAGCAGTCTGGAACACATTATCCAAACATTAATTCTATCTCCCTTAAATCAAATCCCTAAGGGGGTTCTGATCTTGAGTCCCCAAGAGTTGTTTCTGAGTTCAGTGGCACCTAAGAGTCTACGTTTGGCTCCTCAAGAAGATTGTGTGATTAATTGGTTTCTGGGTGACCGAGAGTTGTTAACAAACTTTTTATTAGCATCAGGTTTTATGTTGCCACTTAGTGGCGAAAGACATGGAGTGCTGGATTTGGAGTTAAGAAGACCTGGATTCAAATCTCTCATCAGACACTAGCTATGTGACCCTGGGCAAGTCACTTAATTAAATTTCCTCACTTGTAAAAAGAGGAGATCCAACATCCATTCCAGCTCTAAATCCATGAATCTATGAATCACATCTGTGAGAAAGGGTACAGATGTCATAGTGTCCTCAGTCTAGAAGGGACCTTGAGGGAGCTTCTAGTAGATCCCTCTGACTTTAGATACCTCTGGTTATTAAACACTTCAAGACCATCGTCTGACCATAAATGTTTATAAGATTATTTAAGCTGACCATAAAAATATAAGTTTTTGTTCTTTTGCTTATCTTTTCCTTCACTCATCATTCACTCTCCAGCTATCTTCTGGACAGCCTTGCCAGCAAGCGGCCTTTCTGCCTGAACCAGAAACCGTGCTCTAGAGGTTTTAATCTCTCATCCCTGGAATTTAAGCTCCAAGGTCCTGCTGTCCTCACTGGTGACTTCCTTAACCCACCACTATTTCAGGCAGAATCTGGTCATCTTATCAACAACAGCATTTGAGCCTTGCTGCCATATGCATACACTTCTCTCCCACTGCCTCAACTCCAGTTCTAGAATTGTGGTCAAATCAAGTCTGCTATTGTTTCTGGAAGGGGGCATGTTAATCAACTTCTGTTCTCTTATGGCCCCACGCATTATCTCTGTAACATTCTGGACCAAAGTGCCCCTTCCTGGCCACCACTCCCTATGTGTGCTTTCCCCCCATTACAATGTAATTTCCTCAAGGACAGGGGACTGTTTTTGTTTTTGTGTTTATCTTCAGCACTTAGCACAGTTCTTGGCACATAGTAAGAGTTTAATATTTTTTCATCCATTCATTCATTTATTCATTCATTCATTCATCTTTTGGTCATTAATTCACTCATTAAATTATAATATACCTACCCTTCAATGCCCATTCAAAATTCTGAAATCCACTTTTCAAATCTACTTTTATTTCTTTTTGTCCTCACATAAAAAACAAGGTATCTCTAAATTCCACAATTCTTGAAGAGTTTCAAAATCACTTCAATTACCTTTTAAAAAATCATTTGATCTCTAAAAGTATGTTGGCACTGAGATAACATTAATGTTAAAGCAATAAAATAATTGCATGACATTAACTCTTTAGAAAGCAGAATTGGCCAAGTGGAAAAAAGAGGAACGAAAGCTCTAGAGCATGGTTTCTGGTGCAGGCAGAAAGGCTGCTTGCTGGCAAGGCGGTCCAGATCCAAGGTTAAGAACCCCTGGATTATATGATCTCAAGGAGTTTTCAGATCACAAAATCCTTACGACAATAAAGTGCTTTGAGCTCCTTTAAGTAGCTGTAATGTGTGCTTAGAAGTCACTACTCCAGCATTAATAACTAGAACTTTGGTTTAAAAAAAAATACATATACATATACATATATATACACATACATATATATACATGTACATAAAAACACATTTTAATCTAAGAAGTTACTGTTTTGTCCACTACATATCAGGCCTGTAGCTACTGAAAGTTTTCCTTAGTACAGTATACAATTCAGGAATCAGGAATCTCTTTTTTGTTTAGATCATAAGATCACAAAATTAGAGCTAGAAGGGCCTTAAAGGCTAATTAGTCCAGTCTCCTCATTTTACAGATAAGGCAACTGAGGACCAGAGAGGTTAAGTCCAAGCAGAGCTTTGGCTGTCCTGCAGTCTTAATTAATTAGAGATAGTCTGAATAGTAACCTATCATCCTATTCCTTACAGCCTCACAATTTTTCCACATCCATGTGTTTTGTTTATTTGTCACAATTACCTTTTCTCCAGGTCCTGGTTTCTACATATCATGATACACTTACCCCAGGCAGAAGGTTGCCTTTCAGTTGAATATATTACTCCAGTTCCCATATTCCAACCCCAGTACCAATAAGATCTTGCTGAAAAGGAAATAAATGGCTCACTTTATAGAAGTCTGTAGCTTGAAAGAATCAATGCCCCATCCAAAAGAGAGCCATTCAGTACTTTATCCATTGCAGGTCTGACTAAATGGTCACAGAGTTTATGAGATAGTGTTTCAGCACTTACCCTTGGGAGTCCTGATTTTATTGTAGCATCTAAAGATGGCAATAAGAAGGAGCCCTTCCCCAAGCTGGAAAATCATGTAGAGGAGAGGAAAAAAGAAGAGAGGTCCAATTACTTCTGGAGGAAAGGTCATATTGAGGATGGCAGAGCATAGCTGAACATTCTGGCATCCAGTCTCCATGCTGACGGTGCGTCTGCATCTGTGTAGACACATAAAAGCAGCTTCAGGAGAATTAATTACCACTGTTATCTTTTCCTTCCTTCCTCACGAGACCAAAAGGAATCGAATGGTGTTAGACAAACTGATGGATGTAAAATAAGCATCTCGTTTGTACCTGAGTGGTCATTTATGGTTTCCTGTCACTATGGTTGGCCTTGTGTTTAAGATTTATTATTAATGACTTGCATAAAAACAGAGATGGCATGCTTACTCAATTTGCAATGACACCAAGCCAGAAGAAGTGGATTCATCACATTGGATGACAGACAAATGCAAAAACATCTTTAAAGGCTAGGATAATAGATTAAATCTAATAAGATAAAATTTCATAGAGATGACTTCTCCTTATGAAACATATTTTAAAATTTTACTAAAATTTATATTTTTACAAAAATAAAATTTTCATCTCAAAATTTTACTGATTTTTAAAAATAGACTTCACATCAAATTGTCTGAAAAACCTGGGCTTTTTTTTAAGGGACTTCCAATGCAACCCAAAAAGCTAAAATGATTGTAGCCATTGTGTTCTGGATTAGGGAAGTTATATGCCCAATGTGCTCTTCTATCCACGGTCAGACTACATTTAGAATATGCTATTCAGGCAGTTATGCAGTGCAGTAGATAGGGTGCAGGGCCTGGAGTCAGGAAGATACATGTTCCTGCGTTCAAATCTGACCTCAGACACTTACTAGCCATATTACCCTGGGTAAGTCACTTAGCCCTGTTTGCCTCAGTTTCCTCATCTGTAAAATGAGCTGGAGAAGGAAATGGTAAACCCCTCCAGTATCTTTACCAAGAAAACCCCAAATAGGGTCACAAGAATTAGACACAACTAAAAAACAATTGAACTGACTGAACTGATTCAGTTTTGGGGGCTAGATTTTAGAAAGAACATGGATAAGTTGAAGAACAGCATGCCATATGAGGACAAACTGATCCTCACGTGTTCAGCCTGGAGATAAGAATATTGGCTGAGGGTGGGGAAAGGGACCATATTATGCCTGTATTTTAAGAGCGGTCATGTGGAAGGAATTACTTATGTTATACTTGGGCAGAGAGGGCAGAACTGGAGGTATAGTGAGTTTATTCTTATTTTAGCTCTTCAAGCAAAAGTTCAATGACCATTTACAGGTATGTTGTAGTTTAGGTCAGGCTAGACTTCATGGCCTCTGGGGTCCTTTTCAGCTCTGAGATTCCATGACATCTTTTAGTTTTATTTCCCATTATTCTCTTTAATGCTCTAGTTAAACTGAACTACCCTTCCCTAAACTTTCCTACCTCATTTTCTTTGTTCACTCTTGGAATATACTCTACTACCCACCATCTCTGTCTGTTGAAATACTTCCTTTTCATCCTTTACAAACCAAATTCTTCATAAAAAATTCTTTTTGATTCACATACACCTACCTCCAGCTATAAGTAATCTCTATTTATAACTTTCATATACAATCATATTGTATATTAATATTATGGCTTTTTTCTATATACATGTCTTATTTCTTCTACTAGACTGTGATTTCCTTGAAGATGGGCACTGAATCCTTAATAAATGTTTGTTGTTGAATAGAAGTGCATGGGAGAAGATAGAACCTATAGAAATCACTTTGTGAGTAGCTCTTGTCTAGGGCCGTCACCTTCAGAAACCCAACACTTCCCACAATATAAAGAAGCCCCTACAACATTGCATGAGAGGCATCACCAAGAATCCACTGCCCACATAGCTTGGAAAAATGCAGAGATTTTCTAGTTACTCCTGAAACAAACTAGAAATGGGAAAAAGTAGGACTGTGTTGGGAGATAGAAACCAAAGTCACACCTACCTTCCATTGAGGCGTAAGATGGCTGAGAGGATATAACCCAGGGTGAAGCCAATGAAAGGCATCAAAGCAGAGATAGTCAGGAGACGAAATGTCATGACAAACATGATGCTTCGGCCAATGTTAATGGCAGCAAGGGCAGCAACGCCCACTGATAAAATAAGCATTATGATCATTCCCCCCTGAAAGTGAGGATAATGGGAAAAGAAAAAAAAAGAAAAACCTTTTTTTAAGAGACTATTCTTTAGTAATCCCAATTCCTGAACGAAATTGGAAGACCATATTTTATTAATTATTAATTAATTTATTTTGATTTATCAACAATCACTTCCATATGCTTTTGAGTTTAAAATTTTTCTCCCCCTTCCTCCCACCAACCTCCCCAAGATGGTGCACAATCGGATATAGGCTGTATGTATACATTCTTATTAAACATATTTTCACATTAGTGATGTTGTAAGTAAAAATTAGACCCAATAGGAGGAACCACCAGAAAGAGGAAATAAAACTCAACAGAAGAGAAAAAAAATAGCAAATAGTATGCTTCAATCTGCATTCAAATTCCATAATTTTTTCTTTGGATGTGCATAACATTTTCCATCATGAGGCCTCTGGAGATGTCTTAGATCCTTGTATTGCTGGGAAGGGTTAAGTTTATCAATATTAGTCATCACACAATGTGGCTGTTATTGTGTACAAATTCTCTTGGTGCTGCTCACTTCACTCAGCATCAGACCATACAAGTCTTTCCAGGTTTTTCTGAAGTCAGCCTGTTCATCATTATAGCACAATAGTATTCCATTACATTCATATACCACAACTTGCTCAGCCATTCCCCAATTGATGGGCATCCCCTCAATTTCCAATTCTTTGCCACCACAAAAAGAGCTGCTGTAAATATTTTTGTACATGTGGGTCCTTTTCCCATTTGTATTTCTTTGGGATATAGCCCTAGAAGTGCTATTGCTGGGTCAAAGGGTATGCACATTTTTATAGCCCTTTGGGCATAGTTCCAAATTGTTCTCCAAAATGGTTGGATCATTTCACAACTCCACCAACAATGCATTAGTGTTCCAATTTTCCCACATCTTCTCCAACATTTATCATTTTCTTGTTTTGTCATGTCGGCCAATCTGATAGGTGTGATGTGGTACCTCAGAGTTGTTTTGATTTGCATTTCTCTAATCAATAGTGATTTAGAGCATTTTTTCATATGACTATAGATGGCTTTAATTTATTCATCTGAGAACTGCCTGTTTGTATCCTTTCACCATTTATCAACTGGGGAATGACTTGTATTCTGATAAATTTGACTTAATTCTCTATATATTTTAGAAATGAGGCCCTTACCAGAGAAACTGGTTGTAAAAATTCTTTCCCAATTTTCTACCTTTCTTCTAATCTTAGTTGCATTGGCTTTGTTTGTGCAAAAACTTTTCAATTTAATGTAATCAAAGTTATTCATTTTGCTTTTTGTAATATTCTCTGTCTCCTGTTTGGTCATGAATTCTTCTGCTCTCCATAGATCTGATAGGTACACTATTCCTTGCTCTCCCAGTTTGCTTCTAGTATCAGCCTTTATGTCTAAATCATGAACCCATTTTGACTTTTTTTTGGTATATGGTGTGAGATTTTGGTCTATGCCTAGTTTCTGCCATATTTCTTTTCCAGTTTTCCCAGCAGTTTTGAGAGGCCATATTTTAATCACCTCTCCTTCTTCCATTTTCATTCCCAGGAATAATAGTTTTCGTGAGTGCCTCACTTTGTATGTAGTATATCATTTGATACTCATCATAACTCTATGTGATAGATGCTTTTATTATCTCCATTTGACAGACAAGGAAATGACGGAGACTGAAAGAGGTTAAGAGATTTACTCAAGGTCACACAGCTAATAAATATTGGAGGTGAGGTGTGAACCCAGTTCAGCACACTTTCCATCTGCTTCTCATTAAAAGGAAGCTTCTTAAGGACAAAGAACATATTTCTTAGTAACCCCTTCAACAAAAACCAGCATATTTGAGTGTCCTCCATCCATGAGGAGGCTATGTCAGTGTGGGGAGCTTCTTCCATCAATGTGAATATAACCATGTATAGCAAATAGGGCAGCTAGGTGGCACAGCAGATAGAGCACTAGGCTTGAAATCAGGAAGACTCATATTTATGAGTTCAAATCCAGCCTCAGACGTGGGTGTGTGTGCATGCTTGCGTGTGTGGGGGTGTGTGTGTGAAAGACAGAGACAGACAGGGACAGAGACAGAGAGACGGAGAAAGAGAGAGAACCTTGACAAGTCACTTAACCCTATTTCCCTCAATTCCTCATCTGTAAAATGAGCTGGAAAAGGAAATGGCAAACTACTCTAGTATCTTCTACAAGAAAACCCCAAATGAGGTCTCAAAGAGTCAGACACAACTGAAACGACTTAACAACAACAGATAGTTTAGTAGGTAAATCTGAGGGACTTTCCTAGGGTCACACAGCTAAGTGTGTGAGGTAGGATCTGAGGTCTTTCTGATTCCAAGTATAGAACTTTATCCACTATCTACTATGCTACAATGCCTCTGTTGCCTTCCTTCTAGTGATGCTTCAGGCATTTCTACAACCAACATAGAAAACATGATTATAAATAGTAAGACTAGCTTTTTTAACAAACATACCAGAATCAATGTGGGAAGTTGTTTTCCCTGACTATATATGTATATGACAGAGTTTGAATAAATTAATTAATATGCACTTATTAAGTACCAACTATGTGCCAGGCATTGGGATAGACTCTGGGGATATATATAATACTTTGTCATTTTAAAAATAATTTATTCTGTATCTACTTCCTGTTGCTTTTTTACCTTTGTGCTTATGAATGTCTTGACTTTGTATTGCTTTGTGGGGCAGAGGAAAGCACAATAGTATTGCATGTATTGATATGCCAGATTTTCTTCAAGCATTTCTCAATCATTGAGTATATAGGTTTTCCCCTTGCTTTCCACCATTAAAAGTAAAGCAAGTATGAATACTTTTTTTTTTACAATTAACATCTATTTTCCATATAACAATTTTAACTTCTAGTCCCATCAACAGAATCATGGAGTGAAAGGTTATGACCAATTTTGCAGCTCCTGTATGTTGATCTTTTCATGTTGCTCTGCTTTTTTTTTTTTTGCCTCAGGGCAAATCCCACTGGCAATGTGCCTGTTCCCTCATGGCCCTGTCAACACTGAATTTGGTTATTCTTAGGTTTTTTGATTGATTTGTTTTGGAGTTTGGATTTTTTTGCCTCTTTGATGGCTATAAGGTAATGTCTTGATTTCTCTGAATGTTAGAGAGTGTAAGCAATTTTTCAAGTGGTTGTTAACTTGTATTTTCTCCTTCAAAAAAGGCTCATTTGTTCTTTGGAGTGGGTATTAATGCTCTACTTTATATGTAGGAGTATCCTTTTTGTATGTTTTGAAATTCAGAATAAAAAAATAACAAATCACAATTTTGCAATGTGCTAGCCCCAATGTGAAATCAGAAGTTTCTGCCACCATCCCAAATCCCTGAATTGAATAAGATTTGTGGAACTGATAATCTGTGTATTTATGAATTCTCCAAGTTGACAGATCATGGCCATCTTGGGTCCCATTTTAGGGCATCCCTGCACTGTCGCTAATGCTAAATCAAAATTGTTCTGTTTTCTAAAAGAACCCAGGCAGACACAGCTTTCCTAAGAGGATAGAATTAACTATCTTGCTGGCTACCTTTGCAAACAGCCACATTTGAAGGGGAAGGGAGAATATCTAAAACTTTAAGCATCCAAAGCAGCAAAACAATTTTTGACCTTGGATGCCCACCCACACATCTCTTGGCATCCTCTTTGAGCTGCTTTTACATGAAAAACATCTGACAGTGGTGGAGTCAACTCCTGTCTGTATGCTTAGTAAAGGCAAACAGAGCCATTCACCTCATGATGACCTATCTGCAAAAGTCTGAGGGTCAAATGGAATCAATTTTTGTAAAGCATGCAGTACCTATTCATTGATTAACTCCCTTCCAAATCATCTTTACAGACCATTGTAATGTAAAGAATGCTTCATGACCAATTATCAGTCAGCTAATATACATTAAGTGCCTACTATGTGTCAGGCATTGTGCTAAATGCTGGCAATACAAATGTAAAAGACAGTCCTTGCTTTCAAGGAACACATTGTCTAACAAGGGAGAAAACAAGCAAATACACAAGCCACTACAAATACACTATATACAGAATAAATATGAAATAATATAAAGAGGGGAGGCACTAGAATTAAAAGGATAAGGAAAAGCTTCCTATAGAAGGTGGGAGGGTGGGTGGGGAGGAAGGAAGGGAGGGAGAGAATTTGGAACCCAAAGTTTTAAAAACAAATGTTAAAAATTGTTTTTACATGCAACTGAGCAGGCAATGGGGTATAGAAATCTATCCTGCCCTACAGGAAAATAGAAGGGGAAGGGGATAAGGTGTGGGGGGGTGATAGCAAAGAAGGCACATTAGGGGAACAGGTACTCAGAATGCCCACCATCTTGGGGTGGGGGGGAAAGGAGAGATGGGGAGAAACACATATTGATATGGCTAACATGCCTTTTTTTTTCTTAATTATTCTTCTTTATTATAAGGGAGGATTCTATTGGTGGAAGGGAGCATTAGGAAATGACAGTTATGTAAAAAAGAGCATTTAACTGTAGTGAGGATAGTCCCCTTGAGTGCAGAATGGGGGTGTCATTGTTTGGCTTGAAAGGAAAGAGAAGAGACATCTCTTGTCTTTTCTCTCATCTTTCTCCAAGGAAAACTTTAATTTCTGTCAGGAAGTGAAGTAGGAAGTTGAGGTCAGAGGCTAGCCCCTTCCTCTCCTATGTCTAAGATTGTCATTAGCAGTTGAGTAGTTTGTAAGAAAGATGGGGTAGACCTGAGTATGATATGACTTTAAAATGTAAAACCATCTAGGAGCAGTTAAAAAGAGTAATTATCTTATACAAATGACGTGCAAGAGGAAGAAGCAATGCAGAGGAACTAATTGGGGGAAGAGGGCTGGTTATTCTAGCAACTTTTATCAGGAATGGGTTCAAGAGACAACAATACATATATATCTAGAAAAAGTCTTCTAAATTCAGAAAAAATAAAACGGTAAGGGAATAGGGAGCAGGGAGAGGACAAAGAACGGATCTTTA